TATGGTTAGTTGCGTGGCAAGCTTATTAGGATGCATTTCTAGCCTTTTTAAATTATTTGAATAAAAAAGTTTATGTGACCATATTTCTGTTATTTGTACAATTATTATTGTTATTATTGTTAATGTGTGCGTAACAATTACAACTGTAAGATTTATTTTATTTAAAGCAAAACGGGTTAATTAACGTAATTAATTTGTCAATTCAATTGTTTAAAGTTGTACAATTGAACATCCTACTAAATGGAAAGTTAAAAAGATTTTTCTCCAGGAGGTATTCAAGGATAACCGGAACGGACGAATTGATAATAATTATTTAAGTGTCAGGTAGCAACCGCCACCTATTAATGTATTACCCCAATAACAATCGAACCACAAAGACCATCTTTTGTGTCGTAAACGCATGGTGTGAAAGTCGTAAATTACCATTTAAAAAGAACCTTATATGACTGATAAATAGCCAATTTATTACACAAATATCTTCCTTATAAAAAATTATGTGATATTAACTAAATTACCCTTTTGTCTTTGTCTGTCAAATTTTGTTTTCGTTCTATGGGGGGTGGGGGTTGTCTTGTACCATAATAGTTACAAACATTCGCAACAACTTATACGGGCTGATCTATCCCATTATTTTTAAATCACTGGCAACTAGGAGTGTTCTTACAGACGACATCGTCCCACACACACACATATATGTATTATAAAACTCAACCTTTTAATATTTTTATCAATAAGTCGGAAACGTTCATTAATAATAATAATACTTAATATATGATAGAAATATGGTTGTGACAAATTTTCATCTAACGCTAGTCCCCACAATAGAGCCCCTGAGTTGTGGGTAATTAGATTACAATTATTCCGTGGTACATGGTGCATGTTTAAAGCAATTATTTATTGAAAAAACAGTCTATGTATTACATTTAATCAAAGAAAGATCTTAAGTATGCGTATGCATTTTGAGTTTGAGAGTTGATAAAAGCGCGCGTTGTGTGATGTGTCTGTATATAGAATCCAGAGATTGGAAGATTTTATTATAAAGTAGATGTTATTATAAATCTATTTTTTTAATTATTTAAATGTGGCCAGGTGATGCTTTCTTTCTTTCTAAGTGTGCATTTAACATTCGCTCAAACGATAAAGGAAAATATCTTGAGGAGCAAACAATCAAATAGCAAAAAGTTTTAGCGCCACTGATTGTTTTTTTTATTTTAGCAGTTCACTAGTTACAGCCAAAAGATGCCGCCATAAACTACAAAACTATGATCAGTTTCAAATAAATTTGCTAGTGAAATTTTAAAATAAAATTAATACAGTGTAATTGAATTTACTTGTCCATTGAAACCTTTCGATATTATTATTGACACAAATCACATGTGTAAAGGAACTTTTATTTAATTGACTAATACTTATAAACGTATAAAAATATAAAAACGTGAGATTATTAATAATTACTTTGTGTTCATTGTATTACATGTAATAAAGGGTTTCATATTTTTAATTTTACAGCAATAGCTCCCGCCATCTGGTGTCTATACAAATAAACTTTGATTGCCGAGTCTTTGTGTAAACCACAAGCCGCAAACGCTTCCGTACTGATTTCATTTTCAAGGAAAGATTCTTTAAGAATAAGATGTATATATGAAAGCGTTTTTTCTTTTGTAACTCCAACTTAATTAGGTGTTAGTAACTTGGTTGAGATAATGTATTGCTTTTCGTTTTCGTGAATTTATTTAATAACCTAGAATTTTAGGAGTCTCCCAAGGACCATTCTAGGGTCCATTACTCTTCATAAGACTATTTTAAGTTGATTATAAACAATTTTGACGTAATAAAAAATAGGAATAGATATAGGTAGATGTTGTAGACGTACGGTTTACACTCTCATACTATTCCTAATCTATTTAAGCTTTTGAGGACTATTTAATTTGGAATAATTTAATAATATAGCGTACTACTTGAAGATGGATACACCATATGCATTTACCTCAGTGTGACAACGCGGATGAAAATTCCTGAACTTAAAAAGTTGGAATCTTAATTATAGGTTTTATACAGTACCAAAATAGATTTACATTTTAAATTCAATTAGGAATTTGGAACTTTAAGATATAACATAGGATTTTTAAAGTAAAAGGCAAAAGTTTGACATAAATCCTCACTGTGCTACTTAACTATTAACCAATGAGCATTACATAATACATTACGAACAGTATATATTATATAATATCAATTATTATTTAATCTCAAAACTTCTCTGCTTATTAGGTCACGCAAAAACGTATTTACTTTAATGATTCTTGACAGTTTCCTAAATCATTAAGGGCATGACTATAATTATTCATAAACGCATATATACATAGACATAACATTGATAACTAACGTAACACACAAAATAATAATGAAAAAAATTAAGACAACAAAAAATTATGGATATAAAAAGGTACATTTTACGGTACGTATGTGTGTAACTGGCTCTGGTTCAGCATTATGTGAAGCAGACGTGTTCCACAGCGCTGGTCAATCTACCAGAGATCACAACAGTTATTTTGCGCCTCAGACGCAAAAAATAATGTAATAATATAAATAAGAGAAACATAATACATAATTGTAAACATTAACAGAAGTCAAGAAGAACAAGTAAAGAAGTCTTGGATTTGTGTGTTAAAGTATATAGTGAATAAGAAACCAACTAGCTATATTAGCCATTCAATCAGAAACCTAGCAGCTTTGCTAAACAGCACCGTTTAACAAGCAGCCTGAATAATATTCAGCCATTTGATCAACAGCTAGGCAAATATTAAATAGCCTGCCCATTTCTATTTAGTTCCACTTTCAGCCACCTAACGCCATAATTTCATCTTTAATCTTTTGTCACACTATTGTCTCTTTTAATATAGATAAACGTCACAAAATATTTTTTTATTTATTATATATACGTTCATTAATATGACCTAATATTACAGATTTTTATTACCACGTCAAGTTGCAGAGTTCAGAATGCAAATATCAGCCAGTAGATGGCGTTTATATTGCAATATTGGAATAGACTCTGATTAATTGATTTGATATCAAAATTATTATCTGACATTATCGTTGACTACGACAGCTGTTTGGATCAAGTTATTTATTTATCAACACATATTTGGTACTACATTCAGATACCATAAATTAAGAAGACAACAGGCGGCCTTATCGCTAACAAGTGATCTAATCCAGGCAAACCTAGTAAGGAAAAAGAAAGTAGAAATACTGAGGGTGCATCAATTTAAAAATTAAAAAAAAAACAGAAACAAAAGTAGACTTACAATTACAATACGAAAATAAAAATCTTTTTTTCTAAATTTCTAAATTCACAATGCTAGGTTAAATTACATAAAATAATATATTATCAATTACAAAAAAAGATATTACATAAGTCACGATTCAATATATTAATTAAACAGATGGAAAAGATACAGTGAAGAGTATTATATAGAAAACTTGTATATCCGATAGACCAAAAAAATACTACAGTGCAGAACAATAAGATACCTATTATATTTGTAGGCTGTGGTATCTTCAATACTGAATGAAGCCTTGTAGGAGCAAGCAAGTAATTCTTTAACGCTTCGAGTAACTTGAGACAACTCTATGCCTGACAAAACCTTTTTTTGTCTCTAATCTATGTGTTACTGACTTGGTGCTCGACATTCAACTGTGAGATCCTGCACTCCAATCCGTGTAGAAACACTTGCTCAATCAAGCACGCAGTCATGTGTTTAAGTTTGTCAAAGGATTTAGAGTTTAGCTCTGAGTTAGAATCTTACCTCAGATTATAAAGTTGACAGCGTTTGTCACAGGAGGCCGACAAGCAGTTGCCAACATGGACACACAATCAAGACAGAAAGCTTATGCCAAGACAAAGGGTTGTATTGTCTCTAGATTTTTGTTAATTGTTCCTGAGCTGAATAATAACAACTCATTGCTTTGAACCGTCCGGTAGTTTACTTGCGATACTGTCCATGCACGGCAGTGTCATTTAACATCAGTTGGGCTTCCGGCCGTTTGTTCTAAAAGAAGCTCCGTACAGAGTGTGGAACTCGAGATACTAACTAAACCCCTCCAATTTTCTATTACAAATATTTGCTTAGCATTCTACCATGACGCAATGAAAAGGAATTGATATTTTTTATAAAATTATCGTGTAGTTCTGCGCGTATTCCTGAGAGAACTGAATTATGAGATACATTTTCAAATTTATGGAACTGAAATGTGACAGAATAAGCTTTATTAAAGCCTACTATCGTGTACTTACAGTACATAAGTTGTAAATCTCTGGCGTCTTAGCCATAAACGTAGTCAACCATTTCCTTGCGATTGCGGGCAGCCGACACGCACACTACTTCCGTACATTGGTTTAGCATAACTAAATATGTCGAGGGAAAAGATGCTTTATTCACTAGGAATAAGATTGAATTTCGCGTGTAACAATTGTGTATGTACAAAGCTTCTTGACGCCAAAGGCCTATTAGCATAACGACCAGGGCAAGTTAACGCAACATGCTTGGTCACGCTGCCCCCCTGACGTTGGTTGCAAATTCATGCGATACATTTTGAATGTTAGAGTAATGTGGTTAAAATATGGACATATTGTGGTTCTATAACAGTGTTTTTACTATAGATTAAGATAGGATAGGATACAATTTTAACGGATTGAAAAGAGCTTATCCGGAGCTGGATAGAATATTCGGTAGTGGGCTGATCGGTTTTAGAGAAAGCATAGTGGGGTGCCTTTCTCGAACCTTATTCGCTGTTTTGATGTAAGATTTTGTAAAATTATTTGTAGATTTAGTACTGTGTGTGATGTCGTAAGCTTAATAATTAAATAAATAAATAAGAGAAGTTTCTTCTGAAGCTACGCTAACAAACGTCAAAAATACCAATGATTTCTTTACTTTCCGCCACTTACCTGCAGCTGTAGGATGAAGAAGTGAAACCGACGTATTTTTGACCCAATTATGTTCGGGAAAGACAAAATAACGTGCAGAAATCTGAGACCAAGACAAAATGCTGTAAGTAAACATTATGTACATTGGAGCAGTATTGGCCTAGACATTCGCCCCTGAGGTCCTAGGTACGGCAGTCCACTAATGGACTAGACAATCCACATTCAAGGTGTCGCGGTGAAGGAAAACTTCGTTATACCGGCGTGTATCGGAAAATAGCCGGCTGATTATACTTGCCTATTAAACAAATGATCATGAAACAGTTACAGAAATCTGAGACCCCGTCCTAAAAGGTCGGAGCGACACTGGTTTTTTAATGTAAATTAAAGTTCGTACAATTCCTCTCTGTGTATTCTATAGCTTTGATTTAGTATTTAGTCCAAAAATCATATCCTGAAGCAAAACGTACACAAGTTTCGATTTTGGAACGGAAGAATTACCGAAATCTCTAAGCCGTCACGAAGAAGTACTGGCAGCAAAATTAACAATTAAATAAATCTGGCACAAACAATAGGTGTAGGTTAATCTAGTACTAATGATTGTTGGTTTGAAAAAGCCTGAATTGCGCATCATAGCCGTTTTTGGTACTAAACGAAGCTATGATGTATTTATTTATTTTAATAAAATGGTGTTATTTATAATAAAATTGTCAACAGTTTAAGTTTCTATATGTTCTAAAATATATGACAGTTACGGACATACGATTATAAACAAAAAATATTCCAATCTTAAAAAGAAAAAAGCAAAAAGTTTCATATTTAAATTTTTTAAGATTATTAACTTTAAGCCTAGGTGCCTAACTACGCGATGATTTGAATAGTCAATTCGTGTGTTCATTAAGTAACTTTTAAAATCCAAAGGATTTTTTGCGCGTCAGATTTCATTTTGTCTTTAAACATGTGAATTTTATAATATTTTCCTACTTGTTTTATATTTGTCCTTTTTTTATAAATATTCTCTTCACTGAGACATCATTAAACATTACGATCTAGTCTCACTTGAGACTAATAAGTACTTTGAATCTAACCTTAATAAGTTAATAATAATACGTTGTATCCAACTTTTGTACTAATAATATTATTGGGGTCCTATGCTGATAGTACGTCAAAAGGGTGATTCGTGGCTCCATGTAATTATTCACTTGTTATGACATCCCATTTGCATATAATCGCCGACTGCGTGAGGCAACTATAGGCCATTCACACGAACCCAAAGTATCTTGATTAAGATTGGCCTATGAAAGGCGGTTAATTAAAAAATAAATATTCGTTGTGTTGCAGGAAATTAACTGCTGTGATTGTTGTGTTAATGGTGAAATTGCAATTACTATTTTTATAGCACTACGAAGAAAATTATATAGTATCGTGAAAGATTTCAGAGCTTTTGATTCGTGTAGCCTGCTAAAGGTGTTGTATATGGGCTTTTTATTAATATGCAAGTAGGTGATCAGTACAGCCCCTTCCAAGCCAACACAATGATTCTGCTGGTTTTCTTAAGAACTTTCGAGTCCAGAATGAAAGAGGCCATGCTAACTGCTTGCTTGCTGCTTGCTGCTGCTAGCTGGTGCCCGCAACTTCATCTGCGCAGGATTAGTATTTCGACTAGCTTATATTAGCTTGGCGTAGAAAAAAAGCTACTAAAGATATTGACTATTAAAGATAAACATTTCCATCATACATTACATATGTGTAACTCTAGCGGTTTTGGCAGCGCACGCCAGAATAGCTTGCAGATGGTTGTTTTTTTCCTACTTGATATTTTGGGCAATTCACACAATATCTTTATAAATTGTAGCATATGTGTTATTGTGATGTATAAAGCTATATTATTGGTAAGTTTCATCAAAATCCATTCAGTAGTTTTTTACGTGAAAGTGTTACAAACATCCACACAAACTTTCGCGTTTATAATATTAGTAGGATTTTATCGACATCATAATTACGAAAACAGGTCACAAGTATTTCTAGATGTAAAAATAATGTAGTTTACTTGATAACCTAGTAGTAAAGTGTCTAAAAGGAAACATTTAAAATTTAACATTAACTCACTTAAATAATAACTAAATAAAAACGAAGAAAATTTTGTTATAATAGAAGTATATAAACTAATTAATACATATAATTCTCCTATGCCAATCAATACAAATAAAAAATATTGTTATTACATACTTTTCAGACTGGAGCAGTCTCGATGGAGATTTTGCTCTGAAAGCCTAACAGCTCTCAACACATCTGCTCATAGTCTAGCTGACTGATTGCAAGATAAAGACATAAAAAAAACGACGGGTTGCACCCCGGGAGTACCGGCAGACAAGTGAAAACTTGAATATTAACGTTGTGCATTTTTGATATTTTGGAATGGTTAGGGAATAATTTTGCACGAATTGCTTTAATTATCAGTATAAAAGTACCATCATTTATATGGTAGAATACAATATTTATTTATTGCGCTATCGTACACAAACATGACAATTTATATTAGGTACATAAAATACGCCGCGCCAGCTGTCTACTCTCCATCCGTCTTACGAATTTTCGATCAGGTCACGTGTCCTGACGAGAGTTTAACATTTTTTACCCATTCCAAAAAAAGTCTACAACGCCGCTAAAGAAGTTTTCACTTAAAAAAAACATACTTTTTAGCGTATTCGGAATACAAGCCGGGCATCTAATTTCCGTTAACTAATTTAATTGATTCAACCAAGTATTTGCAGAAGCTATAACAATGCAATATACAGTTCTCTAGATCCGAATCTGGCTTCGGTTCAGACGCAAGAGAAACCGTATATGAAATGACGATTAAGTGCCTTTGTTTGATGGGAGATAAGCTGAGCTATTGTCTGAACATGTTGCGAGTACAATACGCGAACATGATTGTATAGAATTAACATTACCGTTATGTGAAAATTCTGAAAATTAATGAAGAATAGATACAGAGACCTGGATTGAGATTGAAACTATTGAAAAAGGTCGAGCCCCACGCTCCTTGTTTCCACCACACAAAGGGCTATATGCCCCAGTGCCGTCCTGCATCAGCAGACCGGGAACAATCACTCCGCCAGCGCGGGCTCTGCGCGAACTGGCTGATGTCCGCCCCAGAACAAGTGGATGACGAGCAAAGAAGCTTCGCTCCCGTGTATCGAGTATTTACACCATCCTGTCCTAACAGGACCCTAAGGCTATGTTCAGATGGCAAAAACTTGACGCGCGTTTTCAAATCGCGCGACTAGAGATTATGGTATTTTTCATACAACTGTTCACATGTACGCGCGTTAACGCGCGTCAACGCGGCGCTCAGAGAAAAAGTCTCTAGACGCAGGTGATCGCGCGTTGACGCGCGCTTTGATATTAATGTAATGTCCGTTTGCTGTTCAGATGAGCGCGCGCTTTCATCGCGATCGCATGTAATTTTATTAATTTTCGTAATTATATTTTGTTCTCGCTTTTAAAATGAGTGAAATTGAAGATATTGACATCGACTTACTAATCGATGAAGTAGAAAAAAGGTCAGCAAGTTGAATTATAGCAAATTTGTATAAAAAATATAATATAAATTGTATTTTTTTTCAAAATTGGATAAACCCAATGTGTACGTTTTCTTTTTCTATATTTTTCTTTATAATATAACCACAAAATAATAGCCTCTTCCACGTCCATTTTCTACGTTCTACCGAACTAGACTGACGAGTACTCTCGCAACGCGCGTTAGCGCTCATCATCTGAACGCTCTTCAAATTTGATCGCGCGTTGACGCGCGTTAACGCGCGTTACATGTGAACATAGCCTAAGCCGACAAGAATGCATAATGCGTAAAGCGTATCAATTCAAACTTTCATCAGCACCGTCTTGATTGCTGGAAGTCTTCCACAGTCCGCTTCACAAGACACTTTTTATTGCGAATTAGTGATCTGTGAAATAGACTCCCGGTGGGTGTATTCCCTGAGAGATACGACCTCCCATTGTTCAAAGCAAAAGTGTACTCCTCCCTTAACGGCAACGCACCCACTAAAAATGAGTGTCCATTGATGCAATGCAAAAAAATCACACACAGAACACAAACCACACATAGGAAATTAAGGAAAACGTACCTAGAGAATTTTATTATAAAAAAAATTAACTAACAAATAACATAGCTTTTGTCAGTTCACGTAAGATTATTACAACCTCTGCAATCATCTTGGTATTCTAGTTAAAATACATTAAACTAGAGTTATATATTATGTTATTGTAAAAGCTCGAACTACGGTTAATCTTAAGATTTAAGTGTAAGTCTTAGGGTTTACCGACATGAGTTGGTAAATGTTAGAATTTCTGAAAATACGACGATTTTTTCGAGCTTTTACCATTCGAATTCAGTATAGGTGCTAGGTTTTACCACTGTCAGCTGGTAGATGTTGGTTTTGAATAAAACAATGAGTAATTCTTAATTATTTAGTTTAATGAACTATTAGACAAAACAGGTACATAGTATTATAAAGGTATCATATGATAGTAATAAGTACAAACTAATACCAACTTACTTAAATTATTTTGAAAAAAAAACATATAACGTTTATCTCTGAATATCTCACCTACATAAGGTACCTAAAAAAAATATTTCACTTGTTACAACACGGATTGCTATAGTGGCACTTAGAATTACAAGGTAATCCTGATGATCTGCAGGTGCATTTTTTTGTTTTTCAACATTTACCGTGCCATTAATGATCCTAAGATTTACCAACGGAATGGTGGTAAGAGTTCGAATCGCAAACCTTTTTGGACATTTACCATTAGGAATTGGTAGATCTTAGGTTTTACTGGAATATCTTAGGATTTACTGCAGTTTGAGCTTTTACAGTAACATATACACTTAAACCTTTTTTTAAAGTTGTATCTATTGAAAGAAATAGTACTTAATTCCATTAAGTAGTTTTATGTTTATCGCGTTCCTACAGTCGCGTATAAGACTTCATCTTATAATGGCCATGGAATGTTGGCCTAGTGGCTTCAGCGTGCGACTCCCATTCCTGAGGTCGTAGGTTCGATCCCCGGCTGTGCACCAATGAACTTTCTTCTATGTGCGCATTAAACATCCGCTCGAACGGTGAAAAAACATCGTGAGGAAACCGACATGTCTTATACTCAAAAAGTCGACGGCGCGTGTCAGGCACAAGAGGCTAATCACCTACTTACCTGACAAATGAGCATGAAACAGATGCAGATATCTGAGGCCCAGACCAAAGGGGTTGTAGCGCCACTGATTTTTTCGTCTATATATCTCATATAACATGTAAGAATATTCTTCTAAAATCAAATCCAGAATTGTTTTTTATGATTTTGTTTAAACTTGACACATTTGTAAATATTTGTGAAATTACCGGAATTAATTTCAATTTCGCGACAATAGATTTAATGACAAAGTTTTAATGGATCATATAAAATTTCATTCGAAAGTCCCTAAGAATGAACTGTTTTTAGTTAAGATAATTTTTGTATACATTTGGCAAACACGCTCTTGGAAGCCTAAAAATAATTCAATTCCAACAAAAACCTTCACGACGCTCCAATATTTGTGAAATTAAAAATCTCGAGTATGTAATACACAAGTAATTTCCTAGTCAATTAGATAGAAAGACTGTCATTGTAAAATTGAAGCCAAATCGATTCAATTTAAAATTAATTTCGTCGTCGTTTAAAACGTAACATGTAACTATTATTCAGTATCGGTTATTATCCTTTCAATTTGTTACAAACCGCTAATTACGTGTAATTAGGTAATTAAACGGCGGTGAGAACCGAAAACCAACAATGGCCGGTGTAAAAATAATAATAATAGGGAAATTACCATCGGTATTTTATTATATACAGAAAATAACTGTCATACCTAGTACGTTGTTACTTAGTAGAAAACGCGTTTAATAGAAAAGTTTCCATTAATAAAACAAATTACACGCAATAATAATAATAACCTTTCATATCAATAATATATAATATCTATCATAATAATTCTTAAAAGGCCGGCAACGCACACGCGAGCCCTCTGGCATTGAGAGTGTCCATGGGCGGCGGTATTACTTAACATCAGGGGAGCCTCCTGCCCGTTTGCCCCCCATTCTATAAAAAAAAAAATATCAGATGAATTTTTCACACTTAGACGTTCATATTTCTCTCACATTCTGTGTGTCAAAGGCCTCCAAATCCCGCCATCCCTCTCTGCACTGTGTCACTCTCTTCCATATACCTGTTGTTTCCTTAATTTGGTCAATCCACCTTCTACTACCTCTTTTTCGTTTATTGTTTGGCACTAGTTTATTACTTTCTTGCTCCACTCCACCAAAAAAAATCCCTGTTCCTCACACGTAATAAATTTAAAAAAAATCAGCTTTAAGGAGTTAAGGACCCTTCTATTTGCCCCATTCTCGCCATACTTTTGACCCACACCATGCAACTATACTATCTTCCTATCTCCTACTATCTGCCTTATTACCTTAATCCAGTTTTTGAGTACCATCCATAGTTCTGCTCCACTTCCCAGCTCCTAGCAGTGTCCCGTCCATCTCTACTTGTCCTTTTGAATACTCTTTTCATAATGTATTTCTTATGTCTCTTGTTTATAATTAGTAATCTTCTCTCCATAGATCTTTGACTAACCCCAAGTTTTGGCTATGGACATTTCCAATCGATAAAGATCAGAAAGTCTTAAACGAAGAGTCAAATTAAAATCTTATTACCAACACATTGAGAAGTACGTCAATTTGTTTTTGTCATTTGTCCATCCGTTTTCTTGAATAATTATTTTTATACACAATTAACTTTTGTGTCTAGGGGAATACTTTGTCCACCTTCCTTGATTTGCTGTTTTAAAAGAGTACCGAGAGTTTTTTACGCTGGCTTTTTCTCTCGGCCTACACCCTCTGTCTTCTTTGCCGATGAGTATTGATGCCTTCAAATTTAATGACGTGGAATAAGTGATACATGTATCTTATGTTCCATAATAAACATATTTTATTTTATTTTTTATTTTATTTCGGGCGAGTATAAATTTCTTAAAAATCCTTTACCACATAGCGATTTGAATACCTTAAAGTTCAGAAATGCAGTCGATTAGTTACATTAGAAAATTCGTATTACAGTCATAATTAGATCTACAATTGATTTCGAAATTCGAATTTGCGTGGTCGGGGCGCGGTTCCGCCCTAATGCTACCCTTCGTGCGGGTATGTAAGCTCGTATTTACATAGTAGGTCGCGTCAGTTGCTGCTTTTTTCACCTAATATATGTAAATGGGAAGCAATTAGTGGAGTTAATACTAGGCAAGTGCAGCGCGCCCCTTCCTTCCAGACGCCATATGTTTCGAGGGCGGGCTAACGTTGAAGATATTCAAATTACAATAATAATTTTGTCTTTTATATCTTTTAAACGTTTATAACGTTCAAAACATTCCTCTAATAATCATATATTCAGTTATACTTTGTCATACAACTGCCTATACTTACATAAATAAATTTTATTTAATTAATCATATTAGTTTTAGTATATTTTATTTTGACACTTTGCATGCTGTATTAACGTGTTTTATATTTCTATTATATAAGCTTAAGCTTCTTAAAGTAAACAGTATTTATTTATGCTAAATTTAAACTGAAAAACAATTGAAAAATACGAAAAACTACTTGCTGTACAAGCTTCTTTAAGTACGTTCAATTCACAGTATACTAATCTTTCCACACAAAACACTTTACAGATAGGTCCGGCGAAAAGTCGAAAACTAAGCTAAGCTCCGAAAGCAACCGGAAATTGGAACTGGTTGTCCTGTACTGTTATGTTTTCGGCATCGGTGATAATTGTCCGGAACGCACACTCTCATAATTTTCAGTAAGTATTCGCAAGTCAAAAAAAAGAGACACTACAGCCTTCCCAGGTCCAGGCCACAGATTTCTGTATCTGTTTCATGATTTTTTGCCCCCCTGTTCTATAAAAAAAAATACTTAAATTGGTTAATTTTATAGACTGTTTATTACTAATATTTAAGTTAATTTCAGATGATATCTCTCGCGTAAAATTCATTAACAATGAAACTATTTAATTTAAGAATTCATTAACAGTAAATGTATGTGAATTGTGTTAATT